CACACACTCCACTCAATTGCACCACGCAACCAAACGAGTTCGACAAGCGAATGCACGATAACAGGGCTCCCGTAGTCAACTCACGATGTGGCAGCCTTTAGGGCTCCCCGCAGCCGCCGGGCTCCTCTCCGCATGGAGATGGCATCAGTAGCACCGGGTGGCCTACTGGGAACAGGAAACCATAAACAACTGCCCACGCCGCCTTCCAACGCGGTATCGTTGGCAAAAACAAAGACAAAAATCAATTAGCCCGTAAAGAAAGAGAGTAATTGAAGAAGGCGCCCGCCCATTTATTTTGCCTCGGCCACCCACAAATTCCTTCCCACAAGCTTCAGGAAACAAAGCAGCCTGAGGTGAAGGGCATTAACAGGGTCGTTTTTATTTCCTCATCATTGTCCTCCTTCCAGAAAAGTGATTCCCAGTGAATCCAGAAAGAGTGGAATCCTTTTTCCTTTTCGTTTACACGCACCCTGTTTACAACCTTATCTACATTTCCTCTTCTATTCTCTCGCCTTCGTGTTACTTTTATATTCTTCGACACCACCTTCTATTTCTCTCATCAACTCTTGTTTTTTTTTCAGCTGCTTCCTTTTGCCGTGTGCGTTTCGGGAAGTTTGCGTTCCCCGCTCTTATCTTCCCTTGGCTTCTTTCATCACCGCGGAACCGAGCGTCGCAGATGCCTTCTACTCCGCTCCCCACTCCTTTTCAACAGGAGGGACGGGAAGCAAACAAAGACACACACACACAAGGCATGACTTTGTGCCACACAATATTTCACTGAAACCAAACACCCCCCTCCCACGTCACACCCTCTCTGCTGTTCGTGACCCCCCCCCCCCACCCCACCATTGCCCTCAAATGTGTGAACGGCGCCTTCCATGAAGACACAGACGGGTGACCGTTTCCCATTCCCCCCCCCCTCATGAGGAAGCAAGGAAAGGCTACTGTTTACTTCCACCTTCTCCCTCCACCTGTGTGTGTCTGTGTGTGCGTGTGTGTGCGTCAAAGCAGTTATCACATCTATACCGTCCCTGGCTTTCGCGTACAATCCCCTTTCATTAAAAGGCAAACATGGTTTCTTTTGTGTAGCCAATTTTTTCCAGATTAGGCCTCACAGCCTTCTCAACCATCATCGGCGGGCCGCACATCAGCGCAACGGCACGGCTGTACTTGTGATTCGTGGGCTGCAGGACAGGCACATGCGCACGCAGCGTTGCCTCGTCCACAAAGCCAGTGCCGTACTTCCACTGAGGAGAGACATCACGATCAATCATGTACCACACCGTCATGCGCTGATCCTTGGCACACTCATCCAGTTCCTTCCGCAGCAGAATATCTTCCTCTGTCTGATTGGCATACACAAGGGCAATCTCTGTGCGATCCTCAGGTGATTTCATGATGGCACGGATAATCTGCATCATCGGTGTGATGCCTGTGCCACCCGCTACCATCGCCAGTGCATCCGTGTGCATCTTCGTCACTTCGCCCTTCCCATCACTAACAGTAAAGTTACCGTTTCCCAGATACACAAATTTGCCAACAGGACCCCGCATTTCCACCACGCTCCCCAGTGGAAGATTGTACAAGTGCTGCGACAAACGGCCACCGTTGGGAAACTTCGGATGAACATTTTTGAAGTACACCTTGATAAGAAAATCCACATGACCCACGTCGTCATCGGAGGAAACGGGTGTGTACGCATGCTGCACCATCTCTGACTTTCCATCTGCGTTAACAACCGCACTCCGAATATAGATGTGCTGTCCGATGGGAAGTCCAAGCCGCTGCGTGGGTGAATGCAGGGCAAAGCGGAAGATAAAGCTGTTGTGGCTCACAGATATTTTGTCAACCAGCTTGAAAGACTGAAACTTCGACGCATCCAGGGCCACCGCGTCACCAGAGTAAAGAAACCCCTTGGAATAAAGCAGCCACAGCGTCAGCACGACGACGAAAGCAGCAACCATCAAAGGGAGCATAGAAAAAAAAAATAGGAATGCGTGTGTCTATACCAATAAAAATAAAAAAGAATCAAACACCAAAACCACGCTAAAGCAGACACACCGGCGTATTCCAGGAAATTGATGAACTAAAGTTGCTAGAATATGATTTCTTTCTCATCAAACGAAGCAAGACAGAGGAAAAAGAAGACAAACAACAACAGTAACC